CAGAGATCTGCCTGTCTCTGCCTCCCAAGTGCTGGGACTACAGGCGTGCGCCACCATGCCTGGCTTTGAATGAGTTTTTAACCTTTAAAAAAGATCTCCATTTCATTTTAGAATATATTGTTCCTTGCAGAAAGACTCATTGTTTTTGCTACTAACACTGAGATGTTGGCACATGCATCTCTAATCTGTATGTATCTGATTATTACTAGTCGTAGTTGGTTGCATTTGGATCCTTGGCGCCTGTGCATGTCTATAAAGTCATCAGGTAGATTTCAGTGGTAATGTTTATCACCTCTACTATTAGCATGACGTAAATTTCCATGCTTCCTTCTCAAATATAATACATTTGTTAAAATTTGTTGGTTTTTTTTGTGTGTGTATATCACACAGAACATCCTAAATCATCTTATTCAACTATACACCCACTTCCCAGATGGCACCCTCCCATAGCCTCCCTCCCCCTACTAGAGCTCTTACACTCTGATATCCCTGCTACTGTCTGCTGTGTTGTCGGCACCCCCGGCCATTCCGTACTATTTGCCCTTCATGGTGAATCTAGTCAGCCTATCTAGAGGTGTTTCAGGAAGGTCAGCTGTTCCTCTTCTAGCAGCAATCAGTTGTCAATATTCCTTTGGATAAGATTGGGGTCTGCTGTTCATTTTCGCAGTCCTATGCTGGGTTACTATCTGGGAGTCCCTTGGGCCACCCTGGCCAACAACTCAAAAGAAGGTATCTCCTATCTGGCATTGTTGCTTGTTATGTAGCCTTTAGCTATGCTTATGGACTCTTATGAAATTATATTGGCCCCTTTAATCTTTAGTTATACTTTTCTTTTGGGTGTTTAAGGCCATATAGTTGGCCCATGAAAATGGCAAAGCAAAACCAACAGTGACTCTGGACAAAAAAAAGAATATTAGGGCTTTAGACTACCCTAACCCTGTTTGTCAAATTTCAAAATGATCTGTACTGTAGGGCTATGCTTTGCCTGGCACTCAGAGGAAGGGCGAATCTAGCAGGGCAGGAGGATATGCTTACCCATTTTGCCATCTTCTACAAAAAGCACATTGAGTGGGATGAGGCAGCTGAAGTAGAAGACATCAATGTTGTTTTTAACAGCCACCTGCCAGGAAAGCAAATGGAAAAATGAGGACATAATAAGGAGGCCAGGCAGGAGGAAAAGAACAGGTGTGTGTCTAGAAGTCCACCTCCCTACTGTAGTCAGTGAATGTCTCCTCCCCAAATCAAGACACACCAGCAAAGTACACCCCTACTTACTCACTGATACATAACTGTGACCAACTACAACCAATCTCTCTTCAGGACTATGACATACCCTTTAACACACACATAATTACAGTACACATGTGAAAACCAGAGTCAACTTTTGAGAGTTGGTTTTCTCCTTCCACCATTCAGGTCCTGGGGATCAAACTCAGGTCATCAGGCTGATGGAAAATGCCTTTGCCTTCTAAGTCATCTTGTTGCCTCAGTCTCTATGATTATTAAAATGTTTTAGATGCTCATAGATTAGTACATCTTTCAATCTTTATCAGAGAAGCTTCTTGCAGTAAAGGAAATTATCAGAGAGAACCACAAATGGTCAACATTTTCATTATCCACTCATCAGTTGAGGGACACTTAGGTTGCTTCCTTCTCTTAGCTATTGTGAAAAGAGCAGCAACAAACATGGATGTACAAGTGTCGCTGCAATAGGATGAGTTCTTTGGGTATATGCCAAGGAATGGTATAACTGGGTCAAATGCTGGGTTCATTTATAGTTTTTTTAAGAGTTCTCCACACTGCTTCCATAGGGGTTGAACCAATTTGCAGCCCCACCAGCAGTGGATGAGTGTTCCCCTTTCTCCACGTCCTCTCCAACATTTGGTATCATTTGTTCTCTTGATCTTAGCCAGTCTGACTGGGGTAAGATGAAATCTTAAAGTGGTTTTAATCTGCATTTCCCTAATTATTAGTGATGTTGAACATCTTTTAAGATGTTTCATAGCCATCTTTACTTCTTTTGAGGACTCTCTGTTCAGCTCCTTAGTCCGTATTTTAATTGGGTTGCTTCTTGTCTTGGTTCTCTGTTTTTTGAGTTCGTTATATGTTCTGGATATTAAACCTCTGTCGGATGTGTCGCTGGTGAAGATTTCCTCCCATTCTGTGGGTTTTCTGGTTGCTTCCTTGGTTGCCTCCTTCGCTATACAGAAGCTTTTTAGTTTAATGAGGTCCCATTTGTTAATTCTTGCCCTTGTTTCCTGAGCAATTGATGTCCAGTTTAGAAAATCCTTTCCCACACCTATATCTTGTAGGTTTTTCCCAATGTTTTCTTCTAACAGTTTCAGAGTTTCCGGCTTTACATTGATGTCTTTGATCCATTTGGAATTGTCTTTTGTGCAAGGTGAAAGAA